AAATTTCTTCTCTGGCTTTTAAAATATTGCTGGTGAGCTTTCCTTTCTTACTTTCTATATTTTTTTATATTGTTATTATTTTCTTTTTTTCCCTTTCAATGGTTTGTTAGGTTTCCAAGTTTATGAAGAACAGAAGGAATGGAAGCATAGAGACAATAACTGATGCAATGGTTTATTTGGGATGGCGGTCTGGGGGTGTTGAGAAGGGTGAGGATGTTTGGGGGAAAACAAAGAATGCAAGAGGGAACACTAGAACTGATTGTGATGATGTAGATACAACTCTTTTTCAAAGTGACTTGACTATGGACGTGTATAGTACATGAAAACTACTCAAAGAAAGAGAGAAACCAAAGTTGACCAATGGATACTGTGGCAGTTACATAATCTCCTATCAACTTGAGCAAAGGGGTGAAGTCTGTCAATGAGGTCATAGCCAAAGATGCCTCTGTGTGGGCATGGCCTTCTCTTAAAGATTCTGGGAACTCCTGTCTTCCTCCCTGAAGGCGGCACCACACTCTCTCTGCTTCACATTCCTGTTGGCAAACCACATGGAGCTATGCTGATGGCAACCAGAGCCCTGGAGCTGGAGTAGCAATGGATTACTTCTCCCTAAAGCTTGCAACCATTAGCTTGGTTCCTGTAGGTGGAGTTCACACCTTACTTGTGAGGAACAGAAGGATTTCTCTTAAGTTGTCTCCCCAAAATATGTACCAGACTTAACTGCTTAAGAGTGACTGTACAATAGGTGATCAGCAAAAGTAGGTCAGAGGTTATTCTCCTTAACATCAGCCATCTATAGTGGCTAGACTATTAGTCTGACTCACCCTAAATAAGACCCACTCCCTTCTGATAAGGATAGTGGTGGTCTGTTTACTTGTAGGAGATATTAGAGAGGGCTAACCCGCCCAAGGATGACCAAGGTTAGATAGCCATTATCAGCTGTCTAGATCAAGCAGACACCACTGTTTATCCCACAACAAATGTGGGCACACCCCTAGGTCATCCCCCTCCTATTGACTGTATTGCCTATGTCGCTACCCCTCCCTGTGACTTAGGTTATTGTCTGCTATCAGGGGACTTGCGTGCCTCCCAGAATAGTAATTGTCTGCTTTATTGTATGAGACACGAGAATGATCAAACTTGTTCAAGAATGAAATGTATTGCCCCTTTCTGTGATGTATGACTCTGTAATCAGATCCCCCTAAAGTGATATGATGCGTGGTTAGCAATAAATAATGAGGCTCCCTGGTTCTCGGAGGGTGGCTGGAGAAGGTGGCTAAGGAGGACGAAGCAGCAGCTTCTTCTCTGACAGTTAAGGCCCCTCCACGAGGACCATCAAGCCTAGCTGAGGTGTGCAATGCTACCATGAATTGCATCTGACTCCATTACTTGACTCCATCCTTTAACTCTCATGCTCTCTGTGACTTTACTATAATCTCTACTTATTATCACTGTACAATTGCGCCTACCGAACCTGTGATGTTTTGTGGGGTTCCCTCTTCCCTTTAACCCCACACCTACTGATAATGGTTCATATGGAGAGCCAGAGAACAGGTCAAAGTTAAGCTGCCATCCTAAATCTAGGACCCGCCTATCTTGTCACATGTATACTGCCAATCCCTCCTCTTCCTATTGCGTTTAAGTCCCTAGACCACCCCCTCTCACTGCTGTATAACCTATAGTGCAACCCCTTCCTGTGATGTATGTCTTTACCTGTAATCAGTGGGCTTGCACGCCCCCAAAAGGCATATAGGCCTGGGCTAGCAATAGAGGCCTCTCTTACTGCCCTCTCCCTCCTCCTCCTCTCTCTCTGGTCTCTCCCTCCCTGGCCTCTCTTCCCCCTCTCCTCTCCCGTTCTTCCCTTCCCCCTCTCTCCACAGGACCACTAAGCAGGGCTGAGGTGAGCAATGCTACCATGTAATTTGTCTGATTGCATTATTGTAATGTCTCTTCTATCGCTCATGCTCTCGATGACTTTAATATAATATTTATGTATCTCAACCATACAATTGTGCTTACTGAACCCGAGGCTAGTGGGGCGGGGGAGGCTGGCTCCCCCACCTAATACTACACACTGCCACAGGATCCACAAGACTTTCCACACACTGGCATGTGATATCCCTGCATTCAGCATCATTGCATGTCTTGCATGAGTCTGAAGAGGTATTTATAGACTGGTATCGGATACATGGGCTAATATCGAACTTATGGTCTTGATATGGACTGTGCTGGGATGTTTTCTTAATATACAATTACTCTTTAACATAGAGCTTTTTCTTATACATACATGAGTGTCCCTGGATTTGTTTCTTTAGTCAACCTGGACTAACACAGATCCATGGGTGCAGGAGGAAGACTTTTTGCTTAAGGAGAATTGAGTTTATGCTAATGGTAGAATAATTTTTAAAAGGATATCAATAATGGTTGTATACATGAAGAGTATAATCAATGGCACTGAATTATATATGTAGAAGTTGTTGGGAATATGGGAATATTTTGTTATGTATATTTTTGCTATAATTAAAAATAATTACACTAATAATGAGTTCAAGAAGAAAATGTTCTAAAACTGTGGTAATGATTGTACAACTCTTGTTGATATGATTGAACTCTGAATTGTATGATATATGGAAGAAGTACCAATAAAACCGTTAAAAATATATACAGGAACGAAAAGCTAACCAAGAAGCAGTCAAACAAATACAGAAGGTGAGTGGTGAACTATTCCATAGGACAATTAGCCTAGCATCTGACAAATCAAATTTAAAAAAAATAAGGCAGTGTGTATGGTTATCTCAGAAAGAATGGACAAGCTGCCTTTCCATTTATCCCAATGGGTCACCAAGTGAAAGATTTTAGGAAGCACTGCCTAAAGGAGGCTTCTGAAATCTATGAACCTCCTGAAACTGTGAAATTTTAAACATGGGTACATTTTTTTCCAAGAAAAACAGCTTTCAAGATTCACATGGAATATGTTGGTGTTATTTGGTGCACATGAAATAAGACACCCTTAAAAGTTGAAAAGGGGCCCTGGTGCTATAGTGGGTTACTGCAGGGTTGGAAGTTCCAAACCACCAGCTGCTCCTCTGGAGAGATGAAACTTTCTATTTCCATAAAGATTCACAGTCACGCAGTAGAGCACCGGTGAAACACACAATATTCCTCTGGTTCCTTGAGGCTTCTTCACCCCCACCATGGCCCCAGTGATGCCTCTCACTTCAGACTAGACCAGAGCATGTAAGTAAGAGATGAGAGATAAGAGCTCAGGACACACGCAACCCAGGAGCAGGAATGGGAAGAGATACAAGATGGGAAGGATGAAGTGGGGGAGGGGGGGTAAGGGAAGATAGGGGAAACTGATCGACACACAACCACAGACAGGGGAAAGATGGAAACCATGGGGGAAGGGAGACAATAGTTGGTGTGAGGCATGGAAATAATTTAAAATCTATCAAGGGGTCACAAGGGTGGGGGAGAAGAGGGAAAAAGAGGAACTGATACCAAGGTCTCAATAGAGTAACTGTCTAGAATAGACAGAAAAGAATGATAGCAACATATGTACAAATATGCCTGAAACAATTGATGTATGGATTGTAATAAGCATTGTAAGAGCCCTCAATAAAATGCTTTTTTTTAAAGATTTATTTATAGTCATGGTAACCCTACAAAGCAGTTCTACTCTATCCTACACAGTCACTATGAGTCAGAAACGACTTGATAGTGAGTTTGAGATCTGAGTTTGAGGTGATTTAATGGGATACACGTTAGGATGCTAACTGCAATCTAGGCAGTTCAAACCCACCAATGCTCCTCAGGAAAAAGATGCACTTTCGGTTCTTAGAGAGATTTATAGCCTAGGGAACAAACAAGGGCAGTTTTACTCTGTCCTATGGTTTTGTTACAAGTCATCATTGGCATAAATGGAGTTTGCCCTCCACAATAATGGAAACTTCTAGCAGAACAGCTTCCTCGGGTTTTCCACAAAAGCAAAAGGTTGTTCCGAGATCATAGTTAAGGTCTTGAAGGAACAGCCCCATTAAAGCAATCCTCAATTATTACATAAATCACGGAATCCTTTCTGACTTCACTGACCTTACGGCCGGAGTTAACAATCCACAGGTTTGTTCCAAAAACTGTTCTCAAAATATGGGTTACGAACGACTTAAAAGACGACGTTTACCACCGGCGCTTCCAGGAGTCCCCTCCAACTGGGAACTAACCCCCTCCCTCAAGCCTGCAGTGGCTGCGAACACGCAGAGCCGAGATTCCTCCGCCTTTCCCCGCACAGGGCTTCCTCCCCCGCCGGCGAGCGCGGGGAGGTCCGCGCAGAGGCGGTCACGGGGAGGACGGTCCTCGTCCAGCCTCCGACCGGCCTCTCTGACCCCGCTCCTTTCTTTCTCCCGCCTCGCCCTCGAGTCCGCCCATTCCCCTGCCTTGGCGCCCTACTTGGCGACATTCTCATGGAACGAATGAGGAAAATCTTGCATGGCGGCACTGAGCTTCAAGTTCCACGACTTCCATTGCCCGATGATTCTGAGGGCTGGGCTCGCGCAGCGACCACTCTAAAGCGGGAGGGGCCACCTAGCGCGGGAACCAGGCCGGCCTGCGTACGTCAGGCGTCACGTGTCGCGGCTTCCTGTCCTTACCGGCCACCGGCGGCACTCTTCCGGAAGTGGCGCCCGTCAACGCCAGGCTCCTCCCACCTCGGCGACGTCAAAGTCAGAGCGTACCACCGCTCTGCCTCGGATCCCCAGCGCGGGTGGGCTGGTGTTCTTTACCATACATCTCGCTGGTTCGGGCCCACAAACAGCATACGCCAGGGTTTTGAATCTGCTTACTGAACAAGCTCCTCGGACACACGCTGAATAGAATTTGAGAGGTCAAAGGCAAGATGGCTGGAAACCTCCCCTGCAGGAACTTTCCCCCCTCTCCTCTCCCGGTACTCCACTTGGTTCGGCCCGGGCCCTCGACGGGTTCCGCCCACCTCTTCCTTGTCATTGATGTTGTTGTTCTTGTCAGTGCCGCAGCCCCGACCGCCGGGAGCTCGAACCCGAGCGGGGGCCGCCCGGGTGGGGCGGGGGCGGCGGCAGCGGCGGCCGGGGCTGCTCCGAGGGCTGCGGGGGGAACCGGGAGCCGGCGTCGAGGCCGAATGGCTCTGTGCGGGCAGGCGGTGGGCGCCGCGTCGCTTCCCAGCGAGCTGATCGTGCACATCTTTTCCTTCCTGCCCGCGCCAGACCGGCTGCGGGCCTCGGCCTCCTGCTCGCACTGGCGGGAGTGCCTCTTCTACCCGGCGCTCTGGCCTCAGCTCCGCATCAGCCTCCGCGTCTCTCCCGCCGAGCAGCCCCGGCTCGAGTTCCTCATGCGTAAGTGCGGCTGGTTCGTGCGGGAGGTGCGCGTTGAGTTCACCGCCGAGAACTACACGAACGGCGGCGGCGCGGGCGGCGGCGCGAACAGCGGCGGCGCGGACGCCGGCACGGAAACCGGCGGCGACGAAGAAGGGGAGGCCTTGCAGCTCTCATCCCGTTGGCTGGAAGTGCTGCGCACCTACTTGAAGCTGGTACTGTGCGTGCTGGTCAGCATCCGGAACAACAGGTATGCTCTTCCTGGGCCCTGGCTCACCCCCGCCCCCCATTCTCAGAACTCGGGGTCGCCGCCCTCCCTCCCTCACCCCAGAATAGATTCAGAACAGACGCTACCGGTCCATTCGCGGAGGCACTGTCTGCAGGGACTAGGGGTGTCCGTCCTAACTCGGCGATTTCCTTGAGACAAGAGGACATTGCGGGACCGCCGTAGTACTTCGTGAATAGTATTTAGCAGACACCATTCCTGACACCTTCCGGGACTCCTTCATCTCCATGGTGGTCACGGATGGAACTGACCGGAAGCGTCATTTCTCATTTTACAGATGGAATAGCTGAGGCTCGGAGGCCGAGGCCTGTGAGTCTTGGGAGAAACAAAATGTAGCCCGGGTTTTCTGGCTCGTATCTGCCTTTTTGAAATTGGTAATTTTCGGGGGAGGGGGGGTGTATTCTACAAGTACTTCATAGTAGCGAGAAACCTACCAAAAGACACCTCTGACAGCCATTTTCTTGCAAGAATAGATAACTGGGCCAAGCCCAAAGAGTAGTAGTGTTCGTTAAAGGGGTCAGGGAAGAGGTTGATCATGACGGTTGACAGTCCCTCCAGTGGACTCAACTTGTGGCAGTGATTCACCTAAAAGAGCCACACTATAGCCTGGCGGGGAGGGCGGTGGGGAGCGTGCAGCAAGGAGGCAGGGCAGACTCAGCAGAGTAAGCATCCGAATTTTACTGTAATTCTGAGACTATATTTTAACCCAGTATCCTAATTTCTTTCTCCTCCCCCTGCTCCATATCCTATTAAATGTTCCCGTATCTGGAAATTCCAACTAACCTTACAGTTAAACTCATACTTGGAAGAAAATTCAAAAATGGAGTATCAAAATCAGCCACAATAGTATAGTTAATACTTCACCTCCACTACTTCATTTGATCCTCCCAGTGACCCATTGAGTTAGGTCAGTAATTATTCATATTTTATAGAAACAAAACAAACTTAATGGTCAAGTAATATTCTCATTGTCATACACCATCATTTTTCTCCAAGGTCGGTGTCCTTCTTTGCAATATCTATGTATACCACCCGCAATATGTTGAAAGGGGTTGATAGCAACCCCTTTAATGAGGTTAATATTAAACCCCTGGTTTAATGTTCTCTTGCTGCCATTTCATTCATTTAACAAGAATGCTACAAAAACCTACCATGTGACAAGTAGTGTGTTCATTTCTGTGAATTGAGTAATGAGTCTGATGACAAGAAATCTTTACTATCAGAATTTCAGATTCTTAGTGACCCTATAGGATAGAGTAGAATTACCCCTGCGAGTTTCTGAGACTAAATCTTTACAGGAGTAGAAAGCCTCATCTTTCTCCCGAGAAGCATCTAGTGGTTTCAAACTGCTACCCTTGGGGTTAGCAGCCGAACGTATGAGCCACTAGGGTTCTTGCTGGCTTAATGTTAGTCCATATGATATATATTCTAATTCTACGTCTGCTTCAAAAGGGTAGGAGATAAAACTCCAGATTGTCTCCAAATAACATGGCTCCATCACTCTTGTACTCGGTATATTTCCCCAGGTTTTCACATAGTGAGCTATTCTATTTCCTTTTTATTTTATCTGACAAGAGATTGTTGGAGTATAAATTGGTCTAAATTGGGTTGGAGACTCTCAGAATTGATTAATCAACTGACCGACTGACACTCGTATAGAAGCTGAGTTTTTCAGCACATTTCTAATGCAGTTTTTGTGGTTAAAATTAGGTGCTTCTGCTGATATTTGGGTCAGCTTATACTCGAGTATATATGGTATATGTCATGTGGACCAACTGACACACATGCTAGAAAGAAATCAGTGTTATTTAATGAATACTTACTACCAAGACAAAGATTGGTGTTAATTTAGTGAGTATCACCTGGATTTTTGTTTCATGATCATATAGCATCTCTGTGCAACTATCCAAAGCTTGTATGTCTATGGCTCTAGTGGTGCAGGGGTTATACTTTGGGCTGCAATCTGCAAAGCCAGCAGTTTCAAAGCACTTTTCGACCGTTAGTAGAAGCCTTTGTGGTATAGTGGTTACTTGTTGGGCTGCAATTGCATGCTTGGCAGTTTGAAGCCACCAGCAGCTCCTCCGGGGAAAGACTGGGCTTTTTACTCCTATAAACAGTTAAAATTTTGGGAATCCACAGGGGGGTTTCTGTGAGTTATCATTGCCTGGATAGAAGTGAGTTTGGTGTGGTTTTCTATTGCTGTAATCAGTTACGGTCTCAAACTCGCAGGGTCAGCTCTGCCTTGTCCTAAGCCAGGGGTCCCTTTGAGTCAGCAGCAACTCAATGGTAATTGGTTTGATTTGTGTAGTGGCTCCTTTCTTTTAAATTGTTTTAGTAACTGTTAAAAGTGTATGTATTTTTTTGAGTGTATGTATTAACATTTTATAGACAAAGTAGAGGTATAGTATATCTTCACTTAAAAAAAAATTAATTCTCTTCTCCTCTCTCACTTCTACCACTTTTAGTAACATCCCAATCTCCCTGCCCTAAGGCCAACTAATGCTTTCTCTTCTGGGACACTTAGCTCTTTCACAAATAATACTACAGTTTTATGCTTAATTTTTAAAGCTTTTTATTGTGAATTAGGTAAAGGTTTACAGGGCAGATAACAGTTATAGATTCCACGATTGATACACATTTGTCCCAATTGACCCATTGCAATCCCTCAATGTACCACCCCTTACCCCACTTCTTCATGTTTCCTATTTCCATTCTTCCTTCTGTCCTCATCCTCTGGACTTTGTCCTTGCTGAAAGACTTCCCTTATGATTTGAAATGGTTAATTATTCTAACACAAGGGTGAGTTCAGTTCCAGACCTGAACTAAGGCTCCTGCCAGTACATGTGGTCTCTTATGAATTTGAATTTAGTTCCACCCCACCATCCAAGATCTTATATTGGGATCCTTTTCAGAGCAGTTGGTAGTAGTAGCCAACCAGCAACTAGTTGTTCTAGTCTCAAATTGATGTTTGGGATATTAAGTCCATTGGAATAATTGTTTCCATATATCTTTGAATTTTCATTAGTCTTCTTTCCTCTGGATGAGGAGAGACCAAAAGCTGTACTTTAGATGGCTGCTAACAAGCCATCAGACCACAATTGATACTCATCAAAGTAGGATGTAGATTATGGTCTTTGAGAATCATGTTATGCCAATTAACCTTGGTGTGTACCAAGGCTATGGTCCTGATCACCCAGGCCCAGCATCTTATTCCTTTAAGGTGTTCGGCTGTGTCTAAGAAATTTTCATAGCTTTGCCCCACTGTATGCTCTATCACATTCATGGATATACTTCTATCCAGTGTAAATACACATGTACAAATAACCTCTGTCAAAGCTGTATATATTTTTGTGAGCTCTCCCTGCTACACCTCTTTAGTCTGTAAGTCCAAGCATCTACTTGCAGGTCATCACTATTTCAGGATTGTATTTGTAATAGTATTTCCTCTGTTGCATTAACTTTTGCAAACCTCCCAGTGTCTTCCCCTGCCTCCATATTTTTTCTTACCTCCTCCTTAGTGTATATCACCTTGCCTTTCTCCCAAGTTAGTCCTTGTCTACCTTCCAGCCTGTTACTTCCCATCCTCCCTTCCCTTCCCATCTCTGGGAACCGTTACAAAATGTTTCTTTCAGTGTACAAACATTTTCTTGACTTTTTATTACAGGGTTCGCATACGACATTTGGCCCTTCATGATTGACTAATTTTACTTAGCATAATGCCCTCAGGTTTGTCCATGTTGTGAGGTGTTTCGCTGATTTCTCATAATTCCTTAATGTGGTATTCCATTGTGTGTATGTACCAAAGTTTACTTATTGGTTTCTATCTTTGTCGTTGTGAATAGGGCCGAGATAAACATAGGTGTGCATGTATCTAATCGCATCACAGCTCTTACCTCTCTTAAGATATATACTTAGAAGGGGGATTGCTGGATCGTGTGGTATTCTCTTTCCAGCTTTTTGAGGAGGTGCCAGGCCACTTTCCACAGATTGTACCCATTTGACAATTCCCTTCCCTCCACACGCTCCACTAGCATTTGTTGTTAACTGTTTCTTGAACTTTGTCCTTAATGCTGGGGTGAAGTGATACCTCATTGAAACTTTGATTTGTCTCTCTCGAATGGCTGATAACTGCATTTCTCCTTTGTACACTGCTTGGATGTCTTCTTTGGTGGAGAGTCTCTTCATGTCCTCTACCCATTTTTTATTTGGATTGTTTGCCCTTTTCTTGTTGGGGTATTGAATTTTTCTATAAATTATAAATATTAGACACTAGTCTGATAGGACATGCTGAATTTTAAGCATGTCTTGTCATCTGCTGTAGGAGTAGTGCTGTGTACATGTTTATTGTTTATGTCTGAAAGTATAGTATAATTGAATGTATCATTTATACTAATGATATTTCAAAGGATTTTTTCCTTTGTAAATATTAGTTTTGAAAATGGTTTTTGGTGATATTGCAATTATTAATATGTATGTTAAAGCATAAAGGGAACTAGGTTCCTTGTACTTTCAACAAATTTGAAAATTATGTAAACCCAATGGTTTATTTGGGAACTCTCATAAAGCAAACCCTTAAGGAGCCCTGGTGGCATAGTGGTTACGTGTTGGGCTGTGATCCTCATGGTTGGCAGTTTGAAATCACCAGCAGTTCTTCCGGAGAAAGACTGGGCTTTCTACTCCCACAAACAGTTCAGGGAGGTCTCTATGAGTCAGCATTAACTCAATGACTGTGAGTTTGGTTTGGAATAAAGCCTTTATTTCCTTACATGACCACTTAAACTAGATAGTTCTGAGGTTAATCTATGGGAGCAGACAGCCTCGTCTTTCTCCCTAGGAGCCTGTGAGATTATGGTTAGTGGTCCAGTGCATACCTGACACGACTAACAGAGCTTCAGGTCTTCCGAGGTGCCACTAGCTCCCTCTCTACCAGCCCAAGCCAAATCCGCTACTGAGTCAGTTCTGAAGATTCATAGCAACCCTAGAAGGCCTCATATGGTCGCTCACGTGGTGGTTGATGGGCTCAAACAACTGACCTTGCAGTTAGTGTCTAATTGTGCATCAGGAGCCGTGTGCACCGGGCTCCGCAAATCACATTTGAAATGGGCTCCTGCCGTTGAGTAGCTGAATCTTTTAATTCGATTGAATTTTAATTTAAGTTTTAAATAGCCTTATATGACTAGTGTCTACCATATTGGAATACACAGCTTTAGAGCCCAGAAATAAGTCGCTGCCATAGAATAGTTTCTTTGCTATCTTTCTTAGGATCAATTAGCTAAAAGCTAATGCCTAGAATTTGCTTTATAAGTGTATTTAATGAATGTCCGTCGAAGAATTTCCTAAGTTTCAAAGGTTACATTTAGAAGTTATAATGAAATAAAATTAATGTTAAAACAGCCTATTTGACATGCTATTAAGACATTGTTTTAACAATAAGAACAAACAAAACTAAAAAAAAACAAACAGGAAAACGGTGTACAAAGAAACAATGAAAAATAATTTGATTCTCCTTTTTCTCTCACTACCTACATTAAATCAGCAAATCCTCTTGGCTCAACTTTCAAACCCATGTGCTTTTCATCTCCCCAGCCTCCACTCTAGTCAAGTACCACAGTCTCTTTCCTAGATTACTTCAACTCTTGTTCCCTCTTAGAGTGTACTCACACAGAAGCCTGGGCGCTTCTCTTAAAATGCAAAGGAGATCACATCAATACCTTGCTAAATTGTTTTCTATTGCTTCTATTCTTAGAATATAGTCCAAACTTCATTTTATGGGGTGTACAAGCCCACATATCCCCATTCCATTCTCCTTCCTCCTAGTACCTCTCAGTTCATCGTAGCACCTTTCTTAACCCTCACTTGTCTGTACAACTGCTCAAACTGGCCAGATTTGTCTAGTTAGGCCTCGGTGAGTGCAAAGGGCAGTGGTGGATCTGTGGTAGAATTCTTGCCTGTCAACTGGGAGACTGGTTCAGTACCTGGCCAACACACTTGCATAGTAAATGGAAGCTTGCATGTTGCTATGATACTAAGCAATATTCAAAGAAGTTTCCAGACTGAAATGGGCTAGGAATAAAGGTCTGGAGGTCTTCTTCGGAGAATCAGCTTGTAAAAAATAACAGTCCAGGGCAGTGTTTTGTCCTGCTATGCATGAGTAGGGGGGCAAACTTGATGATGGCAACTGATAAGGCCTTGGTAATTATTGTTCCTTGTTTGAAAAGCTATTCACTCAGATATTTATTTATTTAGTAACCACTTTATTGGGGGGCTCTGACAAATCTTATAACAATCCATCATTCAAATGTATTAAGCACACTTGTACATATGTTGCCACCAACATTTCCAAACATTTTCTTTCTACTTGAGCCCTTGGTATCAGCTCCTCTTTTTTCCCCCTCCCTCCCCCAACTTCCCACCCTCATGAATCCTTGATCAATTATATATTATTGTTGTCATTTCGTGTCTTAGATTCCCCATTGTCTCCCTTCACCCACATTTCTGATATGTGTCCCCCTGGGGGGTGGGCTATTGTGTTAGTCAGGGTTGACTAGAGAAACATTCATAGACCCTCAATATGTATACGAAAGAGCTTTATATAAAAGAGCAATTGTATATTGAGAAAATATCCCAGCCCAGTCTAGGTAAGCCCCTAAGTCCAATATTAGCCCATATGTCCAATACCAATCTATAAAGTCCTCTTCAGACCCACGAAATAACATGCAATGACGCTGAATACAGGAAGATCTCAGGCCAGTGGGTGGAAAGTCCTGTGGATCCAGTGGCAGTGTAAGCATCTCAACGCTGCCAGGTGTCTCTATGTGGCTCCTCCAGCTCTAGGGCACTAGTGTAGCCCCCTGTGTCTTGTCAGCAGGAATGTCTTCCAGGTAGTGACCATGTGTCTTGCCTCCAGTGAGCTATTTATCTCCTTAGCGCCTCCAAATGAGGTCAAGCTGCCACCTGATTGACAAGCTAAACTTCACCCCTTCACTCTTTTTTTTTTTTCTTTTTTTTACATAAATTAACCCATTTATTACAGGCCATAGAGGTTTCAGATGGTGGAGCTTCTCCTGGTCTTTCAATTCCTTCAGTCTTCTGATGGCAGACTTGACTGGGACAGCAGAGGTGGTGTTGTAGGTCCAGGCTCCACCAGCTACTGTCTTCATGCAGGAACCGCAGGGCCAGATGCCCACAGCACGCCTCTTCATCTTGGTTTTGCTGCAGAAGGAGCAAGCATACTTGGCATGGTGGCTGATTTCAATTTTCTTCACCATTTTCCTGAGGGAGGCACTGTAACGGGTCCCATATCTGCCCACGATCCTGACCTTCTTGGTGCATTTGGCCATCTTGCCGCAAACTAGTCCCAGGCCAGAGGGCCACCCCTTCACTCTTAATAGTCTCAAATGGACAACAGATTATGTAACTACTACAGCTATATATCCAACCTTCTGACGGGTTCCCCTTTACTTCCTTGCCCCACCCTCCATCCCCAACATCCCCCTACCCTCATGATATTGCTGCTCCCACTACTGTTCTGTAGGTTTTATCTGTCCTGAATTCCATGTGTGGAAAGCTCTTATATATACCAATGTGTGTACTCTGGTTTAGTCAGATTTGTAAGGTAGAACTGGGTCATGGTAGTGGGGGGCAGGAAGCATTCAGGAACTGGAGGAATGGTGTGTGTTTTGTCAGTGCTATATGCTGCACCCTGGTTGAATCATCCCTTCCTTGTAACCCTTCTGTGGAGGGATGTCCAATTGTCTATAGATGGGCTTTGGATCTCCACTCCAATCCCCCTTTTTCACATCGATATAATTGTTTGTTATGGATCTTTCGATACCTTAAAGCCCGTGGACACCTCAGAATCACACAGGCTGGTGTGGTTCTTCCATGTGGGTTTATTTGCTTCCTGCTAGATGACTGCTTGTTTAACTTTAAGCCTTTAAGACCCCAGACGCTACATCTTTTGATAGCAGGGCACCATCAGCTTTCTTCACCACGTTTGCTTATGTGCACCCGTTTGTCTCCAGCGATTGTGTTGGGAAGGGGTCACTCAGATATTTAGATGGTTGACTCTTGTCATTGATGTTACAACTCAAAGCATTTTCGTGACCATTCTAATACTACCATCTTATTACTCTTTATAACAATCCTTTTTGTTTTTAAATTGTGACATATTCACAATCTGAAATAATTTCTTTTGTTTCACTTATTTGTTTCTGTCAGTGTTATCCCTCTAGAAGATGGACTCCATGAGAACAGGCACTTGTCTTTGCTGACTGGCACTAGCAGAAACTCAATATTTGGGGAAAAAGTTAAATTGCGTATAACTATCATTGTTGATAGGTCCTATATAAATTAGTCAAGATTAATGAACTATCCCAAGGATGCCACAGAACACATTAAAACTGAAATAATTATTCATAAGGCTGCTCAACACCTTTATTTAGCATAGAGAAAATCATATTTTCCATTGACAGCTTTTTGTTGAGTTATTATTGCTGTTGTTAGAAGATAGCATCTTTGGAGAAAGACCCAATTCCACTTAACAGCAGTTCTCCCAGGAGGTTCATTTCTTTGAGAAATAGAATGAATACCTTCCATCTCAATTAATGACTTTGAAGCTTTTCCTATAAAATAATTTAAATTTCTCAATTTTGAGCTAAGTAGTGTGGTAAGAATACACAATCTCACTTCTTCACTAAGTAACTACCTTCTTGGGCCATGCAGACTGGCTAATTCCTGTAGTCATCAAGTGATTCTGACTCATGAGTCCTATCAGAAAGTAGAACACCCCCTGGATATCCAAATCTGAATCTTAACAGAATAAAACTATCATATTTTTTATCAACAGTAGTATACATGTGGACCTCACTGAATAGTATGCATAGAAATTAAATGGAAACACGTTTTTTTGAGACAATGGAAAAGTTTGATTTCATCAGAAGGCTAGAGGCCTACTGTGTTCCCATTAGTTTTTCATTTGTAATTTCAAGTTGAGGGTAAAGAAAATTGGAACAAGTCCTTGTGAGCCAAATTATGAGTTTGAGTACATTATATCCCACCTGAGTTTAGAGACCATCTCAAGAATAGGTTTAATACATTGGCCATTAATGACCGAAGACCAAAGTTATGGATGACGTCAAGGACATTATACATGAAGAAAGCAAAAAGATCACTACAAATAGGAGAAAAGACTAAATGAGTGTTAGAGACTCTGAGGCTTGTTCTTGAATGTTGTGACTAAAGTAAATAGAAGAAATGAAGAAGTTAAGAATTGCACAGAAGATTTCTAAGGCAGCTTGAGAAGAAAGAGTAAAGTATTTTAATTAGGCATGCAAAAATCTGGAATTAGAAAACTAGAAGAGAAGCATTTCTCAAGCTGAAAGAACTGAGAGAAAAGAAAAATGCAAGCCTCAACTTGCAGTACTGAATAGTTTCTATGGGCAAAATCAGGGGCCCTGGTGGTATGCTAGATTACTGGTTGGACTGCTAGCTGCAAGGTTGATGGTTCAAACCCACCAGCTATTCTGTAGGAGAAAGATGAAGCTTTCTTCTCCCATAAAGATTTATAGCCCTGGAAGCCCTGTATAGTGTTGGGGTCCACACAAGGGTACTAGATTGGTTTGGGGGTTATGGGCAAAATATTAAATGACAGCAACCAAAACTACTGCCATCGAGTCACTTCCAACTCATAGGTGGCCTATATAGAGTGTCTGAGAATGTAAATCTTTACAGGAGCAGTCTCCTCTTTCTCTCTCTCTAGCGCCCCAAAGCTTTGAATCCCCAACCTGTGGTTCCACTAGTGCTCCTTAATGAATGATACAGAACACATCAAAAGAATATGGAATGCATACACATGTCACTATTCGAATCAAATTAGCCAGTTTTGAGCCATTTTGGTGACAGTAGCACATGATCAAGAATCAGTTACATTGAAGTAAGTCCAAGTTTTGTTGAAGGCATTGCCAAAAAAGCAATGCTTCAGGAATAGACAAAATACCAGTTGAGATGTTTCAACAAATCAAAGAGGCATGATGCTGAAAGTGCTCATCTCTATCACAATATTTGCTAGACAACTTCTTGGTCAACTAACTGGAAGAGATCCACATTTGTGTCCATTCCAAAGAAAGGTGATCCTACAGAATGTGGCATTTATCAAACATTCTCATTAATATCCAGACAAGTAAAATTTTTGCTGAAAACCATTGAAAAACAATTGTATCAGTACATGGATGGGAACTGACAGAGATTCAAGCCAGATTCAGAAGATTATGTGGTATAAGGGATATCATTCCTGATGTCAGATGGATATTAGCTAAAAGAGAGTACCAGAAAGATGTATACTTGTACTTTACTGACTATGCAAAGGCATAACATTGGGAAGAGTGGGAATCCTGAATATTTAATTGGGTTCATGTGGAACCTGTATGTAGACCAAGAAGCTGTCATTTTGACAGAACAAGGAGATAACTGCATGGTTTTAAATCAGGAAAGGGGTTTGTCAGACTTATATTTTTTCACCAAACTAATTATGTATGATGAGCAAATAATTAGAGAATCTGGGCTATATGAAGAAGAATGCAGCAGCAGGATTGAAGGCTCATTAGCAACCTGAAATATAAAGATAACTCTTCTTGCCGAAAATTAGGAGTACTTGAAGCATTTGTCGATAAAAATCAAAGACTGCAGCCTTCAGTATAGATTACACCTTAACATAAGGGAAACAAAAATCTGCACAACCAGACCAGAAAACAAAAACATGATAAGGGAATCTTGAAGTTGTCAAAAGATACCGTTTTATGTGGATCCACCACCAACATAATCGTGGAAGTAACAATTAAGAAATCAAAAGATATATTGCTTTGGGAAGGTCTGCTACAAAGACTTCTTTAAATTGTTAAAGAGCAAAATGTCACTTTGAGGTCTAAAGTACACCAAACCTAAGCTGTTGAATTTTCAATTGCTTCACATGCATATGAAAGCTGGACCCTGAATAAGGAAGACCAGAGAAGAATTGATTCATTTGAATTATGGTATTGGTGGACATTTTTTAATAGACCATGGAGTGCCAGAACAACAAACAAATCTGACTTGTAAGAAGTACAGCTAGAACACTTAGACGTGAGGATATCAAGACTTTGTCTCACATACTTTGGACACGTAATTAGGAGGGACCAAGTCTCTGGAGAAGGACATCATGCTTGGTAAAGTAGAGGATCAGTGCAAACAATAAAACCCTTCCAGATGGATTGGTGAAACTCTTGGTCCTTGGTTCCCTTGATTTTCATAGCCCTGACTTTTTACCAGCTTATCTAGCCATGACTTCCTAATCTATCATCCAGTCTTCTCCTTCAGTGTTTTAATTGTTGGGGTTCCTCAGGAACTCTTTACCTACGTTTTTTGTTCTCTTTCTGTAAGCACTATTGCCCTCCTTCATGTTTTCAGTTTTCACCCAGATAACTGCTACACTCCAAACTTGGGATAGTTTACTTAGGTCAACATGTCTAAAGTAGGGCTCATACTTTAACTCCACTATCTCCTCTTCCTCCCCCTGCCAAAAAAAACCCCCAAAACCTGAAAAACTTTGTATTCATATGTAATAACCCTTGTCCCATAGAAAACCTCTCCCATCTGCAATTCCACAGCCTGGAACATTTAAGTTATTCTTGACTCTTTTCCTTCCCCAACCCTTAGAGCTGTCTAACCCAGTGCCCATTCCTTTCTTACTCTTTAAAATACCTGGAAGCCTTCTTTCCACCTCTGCTACCAAAACCATTCTCTCCTCTCTATTACAAAGTACTCTCTTGAGTAAATGGTCCTGCCCTCCTTTCAGCTGACCTGAAATGATTCTGACCAGAGCAATTATTGGAGTTCCTCAAGAAGTCTCTAGACACAAATTTCATCATTTTATTCCCTGCTTAAAATGATTAGGGTGTGAAGAGCACCTCATTACTTTTACTTTCCCCAAAAACAAACAGATTATTTCTAATTTGACATAGGATACCGTCCATTCCCACAGCCTCACTTCCTTTTCTGCTCACCCTCCCACTGTATACTCCAGTCACTCTGGATGCCTTGCAGTGCTTCAAGCTTACTTGGCTCCCTTCAATTCTTGGCTGCACATATGACTCTCTCCCTACTGTCCTTTTCTTAGTTAACCCCCCACTCATCCTTAAGATCACATTTTAATCCATCTCTATGGAAACTTCTCTAATTTATAGTCAAATACCATCACCGTGTGCAGCATCTTTTACTTGTCTTTCACAGCACAAGATCACTAGAGAATTTTTTTAAATATATAAGGTAATAATTATTCTTTAAGCTGAATTTTAGAATCATCAGCTTTTCAGTGAAATTAAGTTTATTAATTTTGGAAAATAACATTCTCAAGAAATTTTACTTTCATTGTGTAAGGCATAAAGTTAGTAAAATACATTAATAGAATCTCTAGCTCATTATTATTGATATGAAGGGGTTTTTAAAAGTTTGTTGAAAAACTCCATTATTTTTATTGTTTTATTGTTGTATTCTTTACATATCCTACAGTTTAATCATTCAGTCATATTACGAAGAGATGTACTGTCATCACCGCAGTCAACTTCAGCACATTTTTTCTTGTACTCGTTGTTAGCTCCCTATTTCCCCCTTTTCTCCCCCTGCCATGCCCCTTGGTTATTATTAATCCACTAACGTTTAATTCCATTTTCCACAAACTTTTTAAAAGCTTCCTTGTATATAGGAGTATTCTTAATTCCTGCTTTAATCTTTATCCAGGTTTTTTTTTCTTTATTGGTTTTCTCCTAATTTAGAATTTTACTGTTAGAAAAGTTATTTTTGTAGCTAAATTTATCTAGAATTCAAAGATGTTGGCATAGATTTTTTACTTTCTCTGAGTGGCACAGTGGTTAAAAATGCTTGGCATGTAACCAAAGGTGGGCACTCTGACCCCACCAGCCTCACAGAAGAAAGATGTAGCAGGCTGCTTCTAGGAATACTTACAGCCTGGGAAACCTGTGCAACAGTGCTCTGCTGACCTGTAGGCCCACTGTGAGTTGGTACAGAACATTTACCAAATTGGCTAAGTTAATTGCATGAGAAAATAATATTATAACCAACATCTGTAAAAAATGTAAGGCTTACCTAGCTTCTTCTTAGGTAATTTTCTTATTTGTGTATCCTTAAACATGATTAGGTATGTATTATTATAAAGAAACTGAGTCTTGGGGACATTAAAAGGCCTTTCTGTGATCATTAGAATGTTGAGTTCATAATTCAGTCTTCGTATCCCAGTCTTTTAAGTCTTAAGATTTTTCTTTTTTTACCTCACTGCTTTTTATTGTATGTATACTTTGATCAGACTTGAGTTCTATGTAAGATAGAAGATGGAAACATTTATAAAATATCGTCTTTGATAAAATATTTTCTTCAGTTGTTTAGAAAGTTATTTTAAATCTTGTTACAGGAATCTTCAAAAATTTAGTCTTTTTGGAAACATAAGCGTTCTTCAACATCAAGGAACTTTGTCAAATGCATACCTCAGCAAGGTGGACCCTGATGGCAAAAAAATTAAACAGTAAGTTATATAGTTGGTTAGGATTTTACTATACAATAATATCCATAATTTTTTTTCTTCTTTGGTATTTTTTAATCATTGTTTCAGTGGCTCATCCATCGCATCATAATCCATACTAATTTTCATATTTTTAATCCTTTCTGAGAAATTGTAAAACTCAATCAGAAGAGTAATGATCTTTTTTTTTTTAATCTTTTTTCTAAAAAGAACTGTTATTCTGAAACTGTCTTATGAAATATGGTGATCTGCATATGCCATTTTGTCATAAATCTTGAAGACAAATCAAAAAACTAACTGAATAACTATTGTTATATAAGACATTTATTTTCTTGCCTTTCCTAGAACATGAGTTGCATGTGCTCAATCTTTTCTATCACACTGATGTAAAATGCTGCTTATCTTAGATGAGGAACATATTTTTATAAGTGTAATGCATTCTTTGTTTAGTAAATCTTATATTTTCAGGTGAATTTTAAAGTTATTTATGATTTTACTTGTAAAATGAATATAAAATAACTAATGAAAGGTCATTTTCAACATTGCATGTCATTCTTTGCCTATCTGCAGAAGTCAGTATTACATGATTTGAGCTAAATGCAAATGAGATCATTGTAGCCTGTATTCTCCTTATAGAATTCAGCAGCTGTTTGAAGAAATACTGAGTAATAGTAGGCAACTGAAGTGGCTTTCCTGTAGCTGTATGCTGGACACAGTAACCCCGGCGTCGCTGTCATCTCTCGCCACCTCGGTTGCCAGCAGCGTGGAGCACCTGAGTTTACTGGACAACAGCATTCCTGGTAACAGCACTCTCGTTACTGCAGTTGAACTGGAGCGGTTTGTGAATCTGCGCTCACTCGCCCTGGATTTCTGTGACTTTACAGCTGAGATGGCAAGAGTCTTAACCGATAGCAACCACGTGCCTCTGCAGCGACTCTCTCTCCTGGTCCACAATGTTTCCGTGATGCATAAGACTCTAGAGCACATGCCAAATGATGAGCACTGGAAAGCCCTGTCACGAAAGAGCACCAGCTTTCGGGTCTACATTATGGCTTTTGATATCAGGAGTGAAGATATGTTAAAGATTCTGAAACCCAGTATACCACTAGAGAGGATTCATTTTGACAGCTATATCACATGTGTTTCAGGGGCTATTGTTGATCTTATATCCAGGCAGTATGACAAGTTCCTCACTCATTTTACATTAATGAATGATGTGATTGACACGTCTAATTTTCCAGATCTTAGTGACAACAGAAATGAAGATCCATTAGTTTTATTAGCATGGAGGTGTACAAAACTTTCTCTTCTGGCAGTTCATGGTAGGTAATTTTTGCTTACTATTATTTGTTATGGGTCTTACATTTAAGACATTTTATTGCAGTGAAAAGATTCCATTTTATAGTGTTCAGAAATTATCTAACACCTTGATATGTAGATTCTTAGCATTGCTACTCTCTGAGGTAGATTGCTAACAAATGGAACCATCATATTTTAACCTGAGAGGCTCTGTTCCCGCTTCTCCTTCCTTCTGCCATGAAATTGGTAAGTCCGTGCCTTTCACAAAATCATCATTTGAAATGTATGTGGCTAAAAAATATGTCTACTGGCAATAAATATATTCCTTCTGATCACAAGATCCCTTAACAACAAAGTAGAAAGAAGAGAAAGTTGTTATGTTTTCATTTTCACCACCTTATATTCTAGATTCAGGATATCAACATAATTGATTTATGTGATTTTTTTTTTTTTTTTTTACCAAACTCAATGCCATCAAGTCAATTCTGACTCATGACAACCCTATAGGACAGAGAAGAACTGAACCCAGGTTTCTAAGACTAACACTTTATGGGCGTAGAAAGCCTCAGCTTGTCCCACGGAGCAGCTGCTGGTGGAAAACTGCAAGCAAAACTACTTCACCACCAGGGTTCCTTTTTTTTTTTTTTTTTTGGTGAGAGTTCTGTTAAGTAGATAATACTTATTTCCTACAAGGGCCCTTCTTCTTAATGCGAACTATCTCACAAGGAGTTGCTATCCTGAAAAAGTGATTATAGGATACAAAATTAAAATTCTATGAATGTCTTAAACTCTTTATATTCATTTCACTATTTTTGTAACCTGCACTTATATGTGGGAATGTATCCTTTCAATTTGGCCAGTGATCAGAGAGAGAAGCAAAGCATAGACCAATATTCTAAGTAGTAAACAAAGTGGGGATTTTATATAGACTTTTTAAAAAAATGTTTGGCTATGTAAAAGTTATTTCAAGCCTGACTTTTTTAAAAAGATTTTTCCTGAAGAAATAAAATTTTAGATATGAAGGCACTTCATGAAGTTCATGGATAAATGGAATTAAAAGATAAGGGTGTTAGCCCATGAACTTTTTAAAGCCCCCGTGTATATGTAGCTAAAGCCCTCTCACGTCCTTCCATTCCTCCCCAGAGGTAGCCCATATTCTGAAATTAGTATTTTTCATTTCCATGGCTGTTTCACACTTTATATCTTTACTGCTGACAAATACCAAATTGTCTTTCAGGTTTAAAATCTCACTTTAGGTCTCTGGCAGTGAAGCATAAACTCACTGCCGTGGAGTCAGTGCTGACTCGTAGTGACCCTATAGGGCAGGGGAGGACTGCCCTGTGAGTTTCTGAGACTGTTTCCTCCTTATGAGAGTAGAGAGCCTCGTCTTTGGATGATTTTCTAATAGAGTGCATGTAGTAGTATCAGAATAGGCTTGCATCACTTAGCAATTCACACCCACCATTGTGTTCTTGGAGACAGTAGCAAACTTCATGCTTGTTTCATTTTTCAGGTTACACAGTGTGGGCACACAACCTCATTGCCATTGCTCGCCTTCGTGGCCCTGATCTAAAAGTGCTTGAAGTCACTGAAGAAAGCATTGATTTTGACCAAGGCGAACTGGCCGACCAGGATGTGGATCCCGTGCATAACCTTATTGAGCAAGTATCCCTGGGCTTGAATCAACCCTGGCATGCGGTGATGGACATTGAATCACTCAGTGTCTTCACTGAACCGAATCGTCATTTTTACAGAGAGATGCAAAGCTTTAGCAAAGACATTTAGCGGTTGTTGTTTTTTAATGTACAATTCCTGTGATTACATATGCAAGTAGGGTCCTATTTTGTTTTTTCCAGTAGTGAATTTACCCCTTTGTGCTGTGTTTAATCAGTATTAGCTTTATAGAATTATATATGTATATTCTACTTCTTGATCAAAGAATTTAGTCGGGTATTGGTTTAGAAGTTCAAAGTGACAACATACAGGGTTTTCACGGTTAATGGACTTGTTACCAAACCTTAAGGATATACAACCGAAGGTTGTCTGAGGTTGCTGGCTAACTTTATTTTGCACTGAGTTTCTCTGCCTTGTTGATGTTTTTACTATTGGTGTGTCAGCGTTCATAGCACACGAGCCAAATTATTTTTATACATATATAGATATTTACCCATAGGCTGATGGATTTGTATGCAGTGCATTACATTTATGCATTCTGATAGCATTTCATTAATTTTGATTTGAAATGTATGAAGGGAAGATACTTTGATCCCAAATAAGTTACCTTTAACAGAAAATCCAAATTTTTAACTTTCATTACTCATATAATAGTTATATCACCAAGTACCATTCTCAATTTTGTATAGTACTAGGTTAGAATATTGCTTAATTCTTTTTTTAATGCATTTACATAAACACGAAAACCCAAACTGTTGGATTTTTTAAAAAGCTATATCCAAATTAATTTTATTCATCAAGTATATTATATATTCAAGTTAGTTAGCTTTTTAGTCCAGATTTTAAATAGGGAGGAAGAAAGAAACTGTATTCCAGGGTAAAACCTCCAAAAAGGAAGTCAAACAGAATCATAAACACATAACTTTCAGACAAACATTAGTCGTGAAATCCCTAGCAACAAGTCACTGGATTTTCTCTGTCAGCGCGCGTGTCAGCTGCCAAAGAATAGACTTAAATGAAGAAGTGCCCACATGCTGGCAGGGGCCGGCCCACTCTGGCCAGCTAGATACTGCTAGATTGTGATATTTAAGGTCGATTTTCGACCTGTGGTACACAGCTGTGCTGTGGCTCAGTCAGCAACCTCAGAACTCTGAAAAAATAAAAAAATAAAAAAATACCATGCACCTGTTTCACTGTGAATAGTGAATGTAAAGGAAAGAAAGGAAGAACTGAAACTTGTTCTATCACAGGTATGAGCTGCTATGACACATGAAGAACATTCCATGAAGTATGTTTTAAAACCTTGTTATATCTGAGAGGCTTTAAAAGCCGATTTAACTGTTTCAGGGCAACCGCGGTACAGACGTGGTCTCTGTGAGACTTCCACCTGACCCCAGTTTTAAATGGTACGAATGTTGTGCATTTAATGTTAAAGGACAGTCTGCAATAATAAAGTAAGTAGCCAACGTGGGTGCCCAGCAGTGCTGAGACCTGGCTGCTCTATTGTAAGCTTTGGAAACACAATTTATGCAACAGATGTCCAGATATGATTCTATTTATGGAAAAAGTTTATATGTTTTACAAATGGTTTTACCATCTTATATAAAAATGACCTTTTGACAGGTGTGCACTGTTTTGTCTCCAGTGAGCACATACCATGCGGATTTTATATGTACATCAGTAGTGTGAATCCACTGGCACAGTGTGTGTAAATGCCAGATGTGGTGAGATTTTACCATAATGTGAGCAGATAACTAACTCCTGACAGAAACTGTAAGGAATCCAGCTGAATGTTTGACCTGATGACTGATGTTGAATGGTTTATGTTAAATGTATATTCTTTTAATCAATGAATAAAGCATTAAAAAGTGATCGTTGTAATATATTTTATTGTATGTGAAGCATGAAACTTTTAGTATTAAATAAAATGCAGCAATCCCTATATTGTGTATGTTAGCTCCTACTGATTCTAGTATAGCAAAGCTTCATTTGAGAACCCATTATAAAAAAAAGCCATAATAGTTTTGAGAAATGTTAAGGTTTTTGAACTCACTTTGGAAAAATACACTTACATGCTTACAGGTAGACATTAGAATAGTTGGCACAAAGCCAAACCCCGTGTATCATGCATTTAGAATGATGAAACATTTTTTAGACTACAGATATGTTTTAGTTCTAAAAATTCTTATACTAGACACAAAAATATTTTAGATATGCTAGGATTAAATAGATCATAGATCCTACATGTATAAAAGGGGCTTCAGAAAGTTGGGGAAATGGAATTAAAAGAAAGGGGATTTTTCCTGCAAAATTTTTGAAGCCCTCTCATATTGCTTGAGTAAGGCAGTGTAACCTCCATGCTTGGCTTGGTGAGACAACTTTCACTTCTGGAAAAGAAAACGGCTTCCTTTCCTCCCATTTTTTCTTCCTCAGTCACTTGGGCATGTTCACAAGGAATTTTCATTATATCTACCTTAATTATACCTTTTTCCCCAGAATATCTAACTTGAATGAATCAGCATGTTTAAGTATGTGTTTTGAATACCCAGAGTTCTCCAAATTTGTGAAAAGTATAATCAGTATATGGCTAATATACTAGTGAAGACATATATATTGTTAGATACAAGACAGAACTGGAAGACTCAACATCTGTTTTTGTCTATGCTCTGGTCTCACTTCTTGATTCTACCCAATTCTATAATCCCTTAGTTCACATACGAAGAAACTGAAGCTCAAAGAGGTTATCTAAAGCTTTAGATATTTTCAGCTGTATCCTAACAGCTCATAGACTTAGCAACTTTGAACAAATATGTTGAATAAGTTCAAAAGATAGCTGAGTTATGTAAATGAGTAATAAAATTTACATACCTAAAGTTACTTTCCCATATCCCTCACCGGAAGAATAAAATTTTGGTGGGGCCCGAGCGAAACAGTGCTTACAATTGAAAACACAGATGAAGAAACCGTTCACTCGGAGCTTCTAGCTTGAGTCGATAACATAAAAGCAGCTTGCTTGAAACCAGTAACAAAATGATGTCAATGTGGTAACAGACGTGAATAATACCCAATGATATACCATTGTGTGTCCCAATTTTTTTTCACATCTGGAACACAAAAATTACTGTATAACACTGATATAAACTTGAGGAACTTGGAGAAAATAAGATTTAGGGAGACAATTGATACTCTTCAAAATTTGGATATTGCCATTAATGAGAATTACCTCAATAATAGGTGATTTCTAAACCTCTTTTTTCTCCCCCACCTTTCAAAAGTTGATGCAGTTGAAGTTATATTTTGGATGCTAAGAGCTCATCCTTATCTTTCTTTGGTAAATATTGAAATTTCTTGTTAGGAAGTAAATTAATTTCAAATTGAAGCAAATTCTCATTACCACCATTTCAAAATAATGAAGTTCTAATTTTCCATTCACCCACACAGACATTACTGAGTGCACATACTAGCTGCCAACACACATAAGTTTGACAGATACAAAGGTAGATCATTAGAGGCTGATGCTTGGAGCTGGGTCTGCAGGAAGCCCTCTTCCCATCACAGTTCCTAACACCCCACCACCACCACACACACACAGACACAACCGACTGCACCTGGGACTTCAAACCTAGGCTTCTGACCTGTTCTCTGGACAACTGGAACCGACATGTCCAACAGTGTCTGAGACCTCTTGACTATGGAAGCTCTCTGCAGCTGGCAGGAAAAGTTTCTAATTTTGCTTTCTCCCCAAGCGCACTTGTCAAAGCCAGCTCTACCGGGCTGCTCTCCCAAGAAGCTGCAGGCTGGGCCTCCCAGCCACCCAGCCTGTTAAGCTGCCTTAAAGGGCACATTACTAAGTTGGGTGGAGGGCGTGGGGAGTGGCAGGTGCATTTTTAATGAAAGCTCAGTACACATAACAGTCTGAGAGTTTCTGTTTTTAATGTAAACAGATGAAGGCAAGGCATCACCAAGTGTTGGCAAGGAAGAAGAAAATACTGGGGGAGGGGGGGGGATACAAAACTTAAGTTGGTGTACAGGCAATGCCCTGGTTATGAACAAGATTTCTTCTAAGTGCGTCTTTAAGGAAGTTCATTACATCAGATTCATAGGTTATCCAAATCAGGTGCGTACAAGTCTTCATTAGCCTGACTTAAATACAAGAAGAGGCTCAAAGCCTTTTCAATGACTTAAAAGCTGCTCGGCTGCAAGTGAAGTTATCATCTCTCACTGCTATCCAGTCGATTCTGCTGCACAGCAACCCTATAGAACAGGGCAGTACTGTATCTGAGTTTCCAAGATGGTAACTGCAGAAGTAGATAGTCTCGTCTCTTTCCTGAGAAGGGTCTAGGAGTTACGAACTGCTGATCCTGAGGTCAGCAGCCCAACGCATAACCCACAGCACCACCAAGGCTCCTATTTGTTTCAAAATATGCCCCTCATGACATTTGAGGGGCAAGTCTTTGCTATAACAGATGTGTCCATTTTAACTGTTTTTTCCTTTTTTAAAAAATAAATCATTTTATTGGGGGTTCTTACATATAACAAACCCTGCATCCATTATCTCAAGCAGACATGTACAATTATTGGCATCAACAATTTCTAAGCATTATCTTTCCTCGAGCCCTTTGATTTCAGCTCATTTTTAACTTCTTCTTATGAGTTAGCCGAAGGCATACAGAGCAGACATCAGTTTTGCAATCAACGATGCATAAACCATTTATTTCACATCATCCATAGCAGGCCCTTGAGGGTACCATCCCATAGCCACTTTTGAGAGCAAATTTGCACTCTCTTAATACAGTTGAAGTTACCTTTCCCCAGCAATTTTTTTTCTATGTTCTGTGCATAAAAGGATATTGCACATTTTCAGTCAATCATCTAAAACGTCATAATTTCAGAGATTGTAAACATTAACAGTTTAAACTGAACTATAAACATGGCTCTGTTCAGCAGCAGTGTGTGTGTGTTAGGGTTCTTTAGAGAAATGAAACCAGGACACTTATGATTTTAGATGGATAGACGCAACTTAAGTAAACAGCTAATTAGTCCACAGAGCAGTACAAATGGCCAGTTCAACTCACTTCCATGAGACAGTTAATACACTGGCAGTCCTTCAATTCACAAGGACTGCTGGGTGCAAGTCAAGGAAGCAGACAACTGAGTCTTCTGTAGAGCAATACAGGCAATTCAGCCACGGTAGCAAACAGCAGAGCAGGTCACCAACAGTGAGCCAAATGACAGGGTCCAACAGTCCCCAGCTCAAGTGATATATACACCAGCAGTGTGGCGAAGTAAGTGGTGAAGGAACCTCAAACTATAGCGACACAGTCCACAGGTTGGGTGTCCAACAGATAGTGTAGCTCGCAAGTTGAGGCAGAACTAGCTAAGGTAGCCGCACACTGTTCTGGTCATCAGAGCAATAGACCAAAAAGCAAGGCTCGTAGAGCCATTTATCTCTTTGCCCTTCAATTAAATTGCACCTTATTAACCCCACGTTTATTGGCCAGGTTGGCACAATAATCCTATCACAGTGTGCACCACATACAAAATCTCATTAAGTTGAGGGTTAGAGTTCACCTTGGAAGAAATGCTGGGTGGTCTACCTGTGAAAAGTCAGCCCTTGAAAACCCTCTGGAGTGCAGCTCTACTCTGATACACACGCAGTCTCCATGAATTGGAATTGATTGGCTGGCAACTGGCTAGAACCCTAAGAAATTCTTTGCATACTCCCAGGGGCTGTGCCCCAGTTCATAAACTATAGCACTAAGGAACTACTGCCTGTGTGGCACATAAGCAAACACTACAATGTGTATTTATGCACTGTTTATAATGAAATGTCAGAAGCACTGAATTAATAATTCAGTTAATTAGTAACTGAATTAACAGTCAGCGCCAAACTGGAATACAATACAATGGTCAAAGTGAGCTAACTAGACCTACATTTCTTAATATTTGGCTAAAAAAAGCCAACTTCTAAAAGACATGATGTTACTTTTCAAAGGCAGGAAAAATCTTAAAAGCATTTAAGTGGGCAGGAAAAAAGAGATAAATATGGAAAAGATTCATTCACATCAGTAGAGTGCTTACCTTGGGAGCATGAGAGCATGAATTGGTATGAGGAGAGACTAGTTCAACTACATCTGTAATATTTTTCTTGTGAAAAATTAGGGGAGCAAAATGTTAAACTTTCTTCTATCTAGATTAGTAAAAGAATGTTTAACAAACTGGTTCTTCCTTATAGTTTTAAAGTAATTTGTAATGTAAAATATCAGTATGCTTCATTTTACCAATAAATGCATGTTCTTATACTGACTTGCTGTTAATCACAAGGTCAATGGTTTGAACACACCAGCCACTCGGGGAGAAAAATGAGGCTGTCTATTCCTGTAAAGATTTTAAGTCTTGGCAGCAATTCCACAGCAGTGAGTTCGTTTTGTGTTTTGTTTTTTGTGGGTTTTTTTTTTTTCTTTCTTAGTTACAGCACAATTCTAAAAAGCCTGGTCAGCTTGGTTTCTGTCTACAATAGCTTAGAAGTGGAGAGACAAGGTGATAAAGGCAAAGAAGTTTACACACCTTAGAAGCAGAACATAATTCATCTCAGACCACTGTAGAGACTCAAAACAGACTTACACACCAGTCAGAATTGATTAGACAGCAGTGAGTTGGTTTTTTGTATTTATGACAAACTTGATATGCAGAACAATGACACATAGTTGTGATGACCCTGAATCAATAGAATTAGATTGTGTTCTGGATATCTGTAATAAGTTAATGGAACCCTTAATACACTTTAGAAATACCTCAACAAAATGGTTAAAATTAAAGTATATATTTAAAATAAGTTTCAGTTAATCAAATATTTACTGAGGTGAAATTAT